CACGTTATCCCGGTTCCGCCCGGAGGTCCGTCCCCGGCGGGTCGCGGCCGGGCTGTCCCACGCCCACGACTGAGACCCCGAGGCAGAGGCTCCTGTTTGCCTCAGTCAGCGAGCGCATCCAGGCAGATCGTCAAAGAAAAAAAAAGAACTACTGAAGGAGAGCCTCCAGAACAACCGGGTGTCTGAATCGGGGATGTGGAGCTGGTGACCCAGTTTATAACACGGCGCTGCTCTGGTCATCGCTGCTCAAAACTAGATCAGAGGACTGGAGAGAGCGCAGCGCCGGAACGGCGAGGCCCAGCCGAATCCTGCGGTTCTGGTTTTGTGATCGGTTGTCTTCTGTTCCTACTGGTTTCACACACCCTTCTGAAACTCTAATTACATGCACACAGTTAAAACCGAGGGGATTGCGGAGAGTTACAACGGACCCAGGGGTCCCATCCAGTCCACTCTGGAAAAAACAGATCCTGTGCTTCGGCTCCATCGACACGGCTGGGCAGCTTGTTCCACACTCCCACAACCCTTAGTGTAAAGAAGTGCCTCATGTTCTCAGCCTTAAATGCTCTGCCCTGTAGTTCCCACTCGTGTCGACTGATTCATGTTTCCCTGCCGTTTCTGTAGAAGTCCAGCGGAACTGCGGGGACCCTCAGAGGATTGTGAGCACTCCCAGGCAGCACCATGAAGCAGCTCAGAATCAGGAGAGCCGATTTTCTGAGGCTGTTCCTGCTCCGTCCTGCTTTCAAACCTCAGTTAGATGCAAAAAGAAAGCACGGCAGCAGTTTTTTTCCCCCAAAGACAAACCTGGGCTTCAGTAAAAAAAGCAGACAGAGTAGCACACTTTCCAGAGTCTCTAAAAGCACAGTGAACATTTAGGACCGCCCAGCACCGGAGCTCATTACAGCAGGTTTCAGATCCCACCCCTAAATCACCGACCTCTTAAATCCTGGACAGAACAACTGAACTGTGAACAGATTTTTGATGAACTGATTTAGAGATCATTTGGAGCAAAACCCTTCAGATCAATCGGCTCTCCAGGGCCGGTGTCCATTGAACAGGTTTCGTCCGTGACCTCTGAATAGCTCCCAGGTGGTCCAGTCTTCAGAGCCGGTGCTGTGGGCTCACCTGTCAGAGGGCAGGCGTGGGCGGTCACGGGCTCACGACATGCGCCTGTGTCACTGGGCACTGAGGAGCCACACCCCCAGCTGAAACCAAGACAACCCCAGACACGATGACAGGGTGACGAGTCCACATCACCCCAATGTCCCCCTTGACAGGGGATATCACCACATCCCCGGACCCTCCTCCTCCGCTGCCCACCGCCCGGATGAGCTCCGGCCCACTCGCGCAGCGATCTTCCCGGCGGCTCGTTTCGGAGGACAGAGCAGGACGCCCCAGAGTCCACCTCCCCGCTGAGCCCGGCCGGGTCAGGCGGAGCTCCGGGCCCGACGCACGTCCTGCGGGGGGATTAGTCTTCGGGGGGGCGGCACCGGAGACCTGTGACCTCGCTTGAGCCCCGAGGTCAGGCCAGCGGGGGCCGGATAGCCGCAGTCGAAGGGACGGGCTGGTGTCAAACTCACGGGCCTCGTCCCTGGGGGTCACCCCCCACCCCAGCCTCCTCCGCGGCCCCCGGCTGACAGATCCGAACCCTGGGAGTCCCGGGAAAGGAAACTCGGGGAGAACAGCCCCTGTTTTTCCGCAGGGAGGGAGACGTCACACTTTCCTTTTCTGAAGACCAGCAGGATGCAGCATCAGAGCGCGGAGATACGGATGATCTCGCTAAAATAATTCTTCCCCCGGCACTGCTGCTGGGATCGTTGTAGCGCTGGGCGGACACACCGGTGTCCGAGTTAACGCAGTTGAGAGAGCGACCCTCGCCGAAGCAGCGCTATCCTGACCGATGACAAGCGGCTCGTTACACCCGCGGAGAAACAGCGTGAAAGACGCCGGAGACGGAAAAATAACTTTAGAAAACTTTTTCTTCTTCTTCTTCTTGTTGTTGTTTACGTCTCCGGATCTGGTCTTGCTCTTCCAAGGGAGCCGTCGCTGTGCAGGCGGCCGCGGCGCGTCTCTCCCTCGGAGACACAGGTGCGCCACCACGGGGGGGGCGCGGAGGAGGGGTGAACTTAACCCCGAACCCCCATCCTCATCCGCACCGACAAGCGATCTCGAGAAAACAGGCAGCGCCGCGCAGCGATGAATCAACAGGAGCCAAACCCTTCGCGAGCAGAGAGGATCAGCCCTCGCGTGACACCCCACGGGTCCCTCGTCTCCGTCAAAACCAGACCAAAACCCAACCCCAGACGACGCCTTAAACAAAATGACACCTGAAGAAGGCTCCACGGCCGAAACGTTGTGTTCTCTTTCTTCTTTTTTTCAGCATGGAATAAACCTATTACTTGTTCCTTAAACAAAATGAGCCGAGTTCCCGCCCCCTCCCGCACGCGTTCACTCTCGACCTGGTGTCGGTTCTCCCCCCGGCCCGGGCTCGGCTGGGAACGTCAGCCCGGAGGAAGGTGAGGTGCTGTATGAAGCCCACCCGCGGTTCCGTCGCCAGCAGTCCGCCCGAGAGCGTTAATACCGATGGCGAGGATGATGAGAAGGAGATGAAGAATATACCACATGACTTGAAAGTCCAGTGGAAGAAGGACCCGGCTAAGCCAACAGATACTGTCCGATGCAGAAGCGGGTCGGGACCCGGACAGAACCGGCGAGGAATACAGCCGGAGGAGCTGCTGTCTTTGCCAGCCGACCGAACCCACTGGGGTTCCGACCCGCTTTCCCCTTTCCCTTCTGAAACAGACGCGTGTCTCGCTCGGGAAAAAAATAAACTTTTCCGTCGTTACTGTGCGTGTCTTTCCCTGCCCGTCCCTCCCGCCGCCCCGGAGGGAAAATCTCCAGGACCGGAGAAGCGCTTCCGAAATAACCAGAGAAGCAGGTACATGGGTCTGGGCGGCACGGACACGCCTCTACACGGCATCCCTTCACACGCACGAGTTTGCCGGAGTCGGAGGAAGCCGGCAGCAGGTGTGAGGCGGGTGTCCGCACCTGAGCCCTACCTGCACTGTGTCACACGTCCCCCGACAGCCGTGGCGTCTGATCGCCCTTTAAACAGCCGCAAATTGCAAACAACAACAACGACAACCACGGAAAAGCGAGCGCACACACACACACGCATTGCTCTCGCCTCTGTGCACACTGCTGCAGGCCATTCCGACACTGGCGCCTCCGTGCGCCGCCGGGCTGGGCTGGGCTGGTCGCGCTGCTACAGGCACGGAGGAGGAAAGAAAAAACCATCTTACCGGCGAGGCGAACTCCTTCGGAGCGGACTTTCTGCTCTCTTCTCCCGCTGGACCGGGGGAGCCGG